ATGTGAAAAGTTACAGAAAACCTTTTCCCTTAAAAAAATGTGGGAAGAAAAATGTATGGATTGGAAATTGTATTAGGGAAAATAAAGACTAAAATGCCAATTTTACCCTTTATATATTATAATTTTAAGATGTATAAGTGCCAAAATACCCTTATAAAATCCGAGTGGGGTACATTTCTTAGGAATATAACACTATTAGAAAACAAGATTTAATCGACATAAATTTTTGTCGATTATAGAAGAAATTTTGTCATTACAGGTATAACTGAAAGATATAATTGATAGATATAATCGACAGTCGACTTTGTTGAATAAATAAAGGTAAAAAATAAGTATAATCAACATGAATGCTTATTGTCGATTATACTTGCTCCAGCAATAGAAAAATTAGAATTAAAAAAATGTAAAATTAAATTTTTAATTTTGCAGTTATTAATTAAATTATAAAGTCATTAAGTAAAATTCTGTGATAAAATTAATCAAGTGCAAGAACAATATATATAAAATAATTTTGAGAATAATTGAAAAACAAGAACAATATTCAAATATTATGAGAACTAATGGAAAAGCAAGATAAATAACAAGTAATTTACCTATAATGAAATAAAAAAAAAAATCTTTAAAAAGAAAAGAAAAGGGATTATTATACAATATACGATTTTATTCAAGTAAAAGGAAATGAAAAATATAAATCAAAATGTGAATTTACCTATGCAGTTAAGGAATATGTTGGTGAAGGGGTTTAGGCGGGTGGTAAGGGATGGAAGTCAGGTGGGTTTTTGGAGAGATATTTGCGTAGGAGATAATCTTTAAGGGATTTAGCTGTTGATAAGGAAGGAATGGTAAGGGAGATGGGGAAATAGGAGGGGGCAAGGTGGCGGTGGCATGTGGAGTGGCTAAGGGGGAGGATGGGACGTGAACATGATGAGGAGCGGATGTTGTGGGAGATGCTGGGTAGTATACAAATTAAGGAAGGCATGATTGATTCCTAGCAGTGGATGTATGATTTAGAAGGTAGATATATGGTGAAGAGAGCTTATGATCTTTTAGTTCCTATGGAGTGTTTGCTTGAGGTCCAGTTTTTCCAACTGATTTGGTGTAGGTTAGTACCTTCCAAAGTGGGTTTTTTGGGTGGAGGTTGTGTCTTGATAGGCTTCCAACAAGATGGAATTTGCAAAAAAGAGAGGTGGTTTTGTAGGGGACGGAGTGAGGTGTGGTTTGTGTAAGGAGGGGGTGGAGGACGTCAACTATTTGTTTCACACATGTAAAGAAGCTTGGTTAGTGTGGGCTAAGGTGCTTCATTGGTGGGGTTTGGACGTGGTGATGCAGGATGCAATGAAGGGAGTGGTAGATTTTTTTATGGGAAGTTTTGTTAGGTTGGTTTGAAAGGAGATGAGTACATTTATTTTTCTAGTTGTGTCTTGGTATTTATGGTATTGGGGGAATGCTATTGTGTTTTAGAGTAATGGAGATTTTAGGAAGCAATTGTTGGATATGGTTTAAGTTCAGTCTTTTTTATGGATTAAGAATAAGGTGGTTGGGTGTGTTCTTTCATTTTCTTAGTGGAAGGTAAATTCAGTAGAATGTGCAAGAGTTGTGAAAAGGTACAAGGGGTTTTTAAGGCTGTTTCGTAAGCAGCAGCAGTGTTTTGTTTGAAGGAATCTACTAGAGATTGTTTTGGGTTGTTTATTTTAGTTCTGAAAATAATTACAAGGATTGTAAGTTTTTCTATGTTTTCTTTTGGCTAGAAGAAGAAGAAGAAGAAAAGAACAGAGGGAGAAGGGAAATGGGGTGAAACATTTGAGGGAAAAGAAGGTAGGCGAAGATAAGATGAAAAGATATTTGCTGATTCTGTTTCTATGTAGACATATAAAATATATTCAACCGAAATTTTGTCGTTTATGTTTTAAAATGGCTCTCAGTTATGTTTTAAATTAGATCAACTGTGAAATTTAACCTTTTTTGGGTTGATGAAGGCGGTATAAGTATAATCGATAATCATTATTAACTATAAATTATACCCATATAATCGTCAGCTAATTTTGTCGATTATATGGGTATAAGGTGTGTTTGGGATTGTGGTTGGAAGTTTTTTCATGTAGTCATACAATGTTTTTAAATATTTGTGTGTTTGGTAATTTTTTAAGTTTGTTTTTTTTTTTAATTACAAAAAATACAACAGATTTACAATAATTTAATATAAAAAGCCAGAACGTCAGAGCTTTTTTATTGTGATTTTTATGGAGAATGCTTAATATTTAATATAATTACAAAATTAACAATTAAAACCTAATTTCGTATAATTTAATTACATTATAATTTATAATATTTTAATAATAATAACAAATTTAAAAAATTTAAATTATTAAAAAATAGTAAATATTATATATTTTAATAATTATATATTTTACAATATTTTTAAAATTTTAATTAATAATTAATAAAATCTATCATATTTCGTTTATAATAATTCTAAGAAATAAGTAACTAAACACCAAAATAATTTTCAACCACAATTATAGAACAGCACAGTCACAGCAATTGCACTTCACAATAATTCCAAATGCATGGCTGTTGATTATGTCAAAATTTTGTAGATATATGTTAATAACTTTCCACTAGTAGTATCTATAAATATTACATATCTTGTAAATCGTAAATTTAGTAATAAAACTTTTAATATTATTAAATGTGAGATTATTTTTAGCTAATATTATACATATACTTATTTTGATTAAATTATCAATTTTAATACTATATATTTATAGTTAATTTAGTTATTATATATACACAAAATATACATAATATTAACTAAAAATAATATCATATTTGATAATGTTAAATTTTTATTATCAAATTTATGATTTACATGATATGTAATATTATAGATGCTATTAGTAGAAGGTTAAATATTAATATATATATTTATAATCAGTAGTTTTTTGGTTGTTAACTATATTTTATTGATTAAATGCTATTTTCTAGTAGTGTAAACCAAACACACCTTTAAGTTCTCGCTGTCATAAAAATTAACTTTGTGCATCTCTTTCAAAAGTTTGGGAACTAAATTGTAATAAAAAAAGTTGAAATATAATGGATTAAACTGAATATATTTGAATTTTGAGGATCAAAGTGCACAAGAACTGAAGTTAAGGGGCCAACTATATTATTTTACTGCTAAAATTTAAAGAGTTTTAACTATGATTTGATAGAGTCATGACATCTGTCAATGGAAGGATTATCGTTGGCCCTTTCTCTAATGTGTAGGGATTATTATGAATTGTGTTAAAGTAGAAGAATGATAATGATTCTTTTTATAAAGTTGGAGGATTTTTAGAGCTAAAATATGTGTTTAGCCCCTTATTTTATTAAATTTGAAGCTTTTAGCCCCTTGTTTCATACTATGAAGATTTTAGCCCTTAAATTTAAGGATTTGAAGATTTTAACTCTTAGATTAACGAAATCTATTAACTCTTAGGAGATTAAAATATTTACATGATCAATCCTCAAAAATTAAAAATGTAATAGTTTAGTTTGAAAAGTTTAAAATTTTAAAAATAATTTTAAACTAAAAAGAATTAATGGATGTCATTTTCACATACATTAGAATATTATTATATACCTATAATCAAAGCAAGCAAGTAGCTCAATTTGAAGAAAGAATTCTGATCAAGATTAAAGAAAATTTTTAGTTGAATTGAGATAGAAAATCCAAAAAACTAGAAAAGAAAATCCAAAGAGACTAAAAGAATAGAACCAAAAAAATTTTCTTTAATTTCAGTCTAATTTTTTTTTTTTAGATTGAGCTAATTACTCAATTTGACTATAGATATCTAATACTATTCTTGTTTCTATGGCAAATTCATAATTAATTATTTTTAATTTTCTAATTTTTAAATTTTTTTAAACTTTTGAAATTAAATTGTTACATTTTTAATCTTTGAGAACCGATTTTGTAAATATTTTATTCTCATTTTAATGGAGAGTTAACAAATTCTATTAGTCTAAAAGCTAAAATCTTTAAAATTTTAAGTTTAGGGTTAAAAGCTTCATAATGTAAGATAATGGGCTCAAACTATTAACCTTATTAAGGTAAAGATCTAAATGCATACTTTAGTCAATTTTCAGTGGTATTAAGCCCACAAATCATCACAGTAAAATGGATCTAAGATAGGTTTAGTTTGATAATATTGGTCTATAATTGCAATTGTACATATTTTTGTTCTTTAACATTTTAAAAACATATAATTTATATTTAATATATTTAATATTTATTTTAATTAATATTTTATATACTTTTAAAATAATAAAAAGATATAAAAACAAAAAGGAAAAGTTCTGAAGAGTATTGTCAAATGAGGTTAGAGTGACAAATGTAAGAATTAAAAGTGGAGAGAGTAACCATCAGTCATGTGGTTTAGTGGGAGAGTTATTTGTCTTATTAACCATAGGTTTAAAATTTAATTTTTAATCTCCACATGAGTAAAAAATTTATGTACTTCTCCTTAAAACCTTATCACAAATCCTCTTGCATTTATAAATTTTTACTTCTTTAATAATCATGAATGTATCACGTTTATTGCAGTCATGCTAAAAGTCATAATCTGCAAACTGGATGAGAAACTATCACGCAAACCGGAACTGCCCTGCATGTTGCGCATAGCCGCCGAACTATTACGCATACCGATTGGGGTGCCTTTATTGTTACTTGGTAAGCAACAACTTCCATAATTAGACCTTTTTTTTATTCTTCTGCTTTTGCTATGTCTTGGTAATTATTTGTAAATGTAGTGCTTTCTCATCACCAAAGCAAATATCTAATTTATGCAAGTAGAGTTAGTAAAGAAATAGGAGAAAGTTATATTTTATTATTTATTTTAAAACAAAAAATAAAAAGTTATTGAAGAGAAATGTTAAAAATATCATAATATGAATAATATTTAATTATGTTAATGTGACATTAACATTAACAAAATACTAAGAAGAACTTTGTTATTAGTAAATAGGCATGCATGGGCCTGTCTTGTCTACAGGGAGGGGTAAAATTTAAATTTTAGATTGTTTGAAGAAGGTTGTAGTTGGATGTAAAGTGGTTTGAGTATCCTTTATACCTTTTAATTTGAATAAAATATAAATTTTGTTGTAAAAAAAAAAAAAATGGAACTTTGCTTTTGTACATTCCTCGAGATTGTATAAAAATCTATACACAAATAAATATTTCTCAATTATTTTCCAAATTATATTCTTCCTATATCTTTTTTTAGAAGGATAATAATTAATATATTTTTCAATTTAATTAATACATTTCATAAAATATTTATTAAAAATTTATTATATTTAAATTTGAATTCAAGGTAGGAAAGCTACCAGTTATAAATTTTAATGGCTAAATTAATAAGTATTTATAGATATATTAAATTAGAGAGTATTCTAAAGGGGGATTAGTGCTTGTGCGCTTTATCTCCAAAAAATTATGAGGAAAAAAAGATAAAAATCACCTTAATACATACTTTAAAAATATGATAGTTTAGGTTTTTTCAATAAAAATTTATTGAAATTACGTAATTTTGAGATAATTTTTCTCCTAATTTTTTAGAGATAAGGCTGATAGGCACTATTTCTTTCTAACCATCTTCTTTTATAAAAATATGTTCTTCCTGTAAATCTTTTACTTTTCTTTTCTTACAAATATATCCTTCCTCGATGCTAAATTATAACTGATTTATTGCAGGGGTACCAATATCGCTATCAGTTAGAGAACAATTTTTGGTGTCTTTTGGAGGTAAGTAATCAACGTTTTAAAGCCCGATTTGCCAACTCGATTCGTTTCTAGTATTGGGTCCTCTTTAATTAGCTAGTCAAATAGGTCAATTAAAAAAGTTGACGTTTTAGTATTTGTTAAATATTTTACTTTTATGTATTGATATTAACTTATTTTACCTTAATTAATTTTATTTTTGAAATAAAAATAATTGATATATACTTAGTTTAACATTTTTTTTTGACATTTATCTCAGTTTAGCTAATAAAATATAATATAATTACAATTAATTTAGTTAATTTTTACATTTTGTATACATAGTTATAT